AAAAAGGATGATTAAAAGGTTCAATCCCAAGATAAGCTCAGCCTGCCTCTAAGGGGTGGGTTAAGCTCATACTCTGTAATAATAGTAATTCAGACTCATGAAGTGCTTTTTGCTGCTAACCTTAGATAGCTGTGAAAACAGCACTGGGAGATAAATCCCCTGACATACTCACACTTTTCCTGTAAGATCATTTCTAGGGTAGGAAATGGGGCTGGCAAGTACTGCCACTGCTGTGAGGCAGCCATATTCATGGGAGAAGGACCTGCAAGGGTATATTACGGATGCACTGGAGTTGCCTGGATTTGTTGCTGGCTAGTAGCTGGAGGAATGGGTTTATCTGTGAGCTGACTTAGGGACAGATTTAGAGGATGGAGGGCTGAATCAATGGGGCCTTCACTCTGCCCATTTGGTTTGCCACGGATGGGACTGTGTGGAAGGCTGTTGAATGCAGGGTCTACAAGCCATCTGGTGCAAAGCCAGCCACTGTAGAACCATGTAGTGCTCTCCTCTGAGCCTTTGAAGAGCTAAGCTGGGCATCAGCGATCCTGATGGTGTGAGGCATGTGGAGCTGCTCTTCCCACGAGGTGGCTGCTTGGCCACACTCTTTGGTTTGTCACCAGGGTGCACAGGAGCAGCGACTTTTTTTTTTTTTTCAGCCAGCACTGAAGGAGGCACCATGCAAAGAGGGAGTAGCAGTGGCTCTGGATCCAAGCTCACCAAGGGGGGACCTGCCTGCAGCTCTCTGCTCTCTACCTGCTGCCGTGTTCTCTGTACGGACCTTGGTGGTGACACCCTGGCTTGCTAGACATTTTTCTGTGTTTAAGCCTTTCTTGCATTCACAAAGAGCTCTTGGTTTATCAAGTCTGTGCTGCTTTCAGATAGCTGCACTTCTTGGTGTTGCATAATTTGTCACTGGGTTTTTCTTGCAAAGTGTCTTCACTATTCTCTTCTTTAACTAAGAGCAGCTGGCATTTGCTTTCATACAGCATGGATTGGATGGACCCCATATGTTGTTCTTCATTGTTCTTCCAGAAACTGGTGGCATTTGCATTGCCCCACGGCCTTCAGAGGAGAAAGCTGAGATCATTCCAGCTATGGCTATGAGACCTTTCTTTGGGATTGTACCCGTGCTGATGGATGAGAACGTGAGTTGAGGCTATGCTGGGTGCCCAAAAGAGAAGCTGGTGTGTGTTTCTGCAGAGGAACAGGATCCAGAAAGATGCTTGTTCCTCCATTAAAATGGTACAATAGATGACCAATTTATATATTGAGTGCATCTCAAATGTCCATACAGACTGCCAGCTGGGCATTGGAAGCTGTCTGCAAATCTTTAGAGGAGTGTTTGCATTTTCAGCACCACTTCTATTGTCTTACATCTGATTTAATAGCTGCTGCTTCTGTTTATGAGAGAAGTCAGACATCACACAGCCTCTGGGAACTTGGGAGCTGAACAGTTGGAGCGATACGTGCAACATCCAGTGATGTGGCAGGACTGGAGCAGCCAACAGTACTCGTGGAGTTTTCCCAGGGAAATGCAAGGCAAGGGGCCCTGCAGCTGTGCCTGCCTGTGAGAACTGATGCTAGTTTGTGGAACCGCAGAGCTATCCCTATGTGTGCTGCAGTGCTCTGTTAAACAGTAAACCATGTAATCTTCTCCACATGCAGTTTGGTGTGGAAACATGACAGTTAACAGAAGTGAAAGTGGAAGGCAGGGGCTCAGGCATTTCCCTGCTAGCCTTGTTCCAGGCTTTCTCTGGCTGCTTGGTACATCTTTGCTGTCATTTTTGCTGCCATTGCCCTCTGGAGAATCACAGAACTCACTTTTCTTTTAGTCTTACCTGCTGTGCTGCTGTCCTTGAGGGGTGAGGAAGGCAGGATACAGGCAGTGTGTAGTAGATCCAGGAGTGGAGGTGTTTTCTCCAGCTGTGGCACTCCACTGGCAACCTGCAGTGAGCAATAGGATGACTCTTGCCAGGTCGGTGACACAGAAGCCCTTACTATTCCTCTTTTGTTCATCTGATCATCCTTCTTGTGCTTGAACCTGCAGGGAAAGGTTATAGAGGGGAACGATGTGTCTGGTGCGCTCTGCATTGCCCAGCCATGGCCTGGCATGGCCAGAACCATCTATGGAGATCACCAGCGATTTGTTGATGCCTATTTCAAAGCCTACCCAGGTAAGGACAGTGCCAAGGGAAGGCAGTTTGTTCTGCAGTATAAGCACCTTCAATATCTTCAGCAGCACTTTGTGATATTTCTGTAGCAGCCAGATCTTGTTTGCTTGGGGCTGTGTCACGTGTTACAAGCATGTGCTCACGCTCTTAGATAGTGTTGACCTTTCTAGATGTCAAGGGGGATTATATTTTTTTTTTTTTTTAGAAAATTTTAATGCCCTAATTTTAAAGTTCTAATACCTTTTCTTTGTGGCCGTTTGTGTCTCACTTGGAAATAAGCAGATTGGATGGGCGGGTGCCTCCTGCATCAGTGAATCTCACCCCTGCTGTTCACAGGCTGTGTTACATCCTTCCTTTTTAAAAGATGGTCAGGTCCCTCCTGGTGGTAACTAGAAGTGGCAGGGAAACATTTTTTGTGGGAAATTGGGCAAGACCACTGTCTTTATGCAGGGGAGCAATGGAAAGGGATTTGAAAGCTGCAAGGTAGACAAGAGAGACAATCCTGCAAATTGTCCAAAATGGTTTGGAAAGTAAGAATGGGAAACTTGTAGAAATGGAATGAGCCCATAGTCCCTTGTTACTCACTACATGTTTGGATCTGAAATCTCCTTGATATTTGGTTGCTATTTGTTTAGTTAATTTGGAAAAGCAGGAGGCAATGCATGTCCATGAATTGGCCAGTAATGGGTCCTGGCAAGACATGGGTCCTTGATTTCACGGCACTAGCTGGCTGCTGGTGCTCAGAAGTGCCACAGGAGCAGTTCAGATGTGGATGTGGCTTTGATGAAGAGCCAACACAGTTTATATCACCAGATGTGTCCTCAGTGACACTAGAGTTTCATTAAACCACTGGGTCTTTTTCAGGTTCCATCAAATGTTTTAGACCTTCCAAACACCATGCCTATTGTGGGATTTATTTTTTTTCAGCTAATCTGATAGCAGTGTTTCTGATGTGCTCAGTGGGACTGTTGTCTGGGTTTGGAATCTTTGTTAGCCAGGAGGGAAAATGGCTTTTCATCTGTGTGAGTGTAAGTGATTAAAAAAATTGGCAGTGTTCCCATGTACAAAATGTAATAGAACTGCTCCCTTTTGACTGAACAGTTGTAATTTTCCATGAGTGCTGAGGTGTAGCTAGCAGCAGACCCGAGTTTGACCGGTAGGTCACAGTATGATGGCAGATGGCATTGGGAGTAGTTTTAGGTTGGTGCTGTATGCACCAGGCTGTAGGTAGGTGAAGCTTAGGGAGATCAGAGAGCTCCCCTTGGTTTTGTAAATCCACCAAAGCATCACTGTATTGTGTTGCTGGATGTGCTACGGGGCTTCAACCACTGCTTGCTGCTGATTGCCTACAGTGGTTTTGCCCACCTTGGCAGAGAGCTGAGCTCCACTCTCTTGGTGCTGCTCAGGTGCTTACTAGTTGCTAGCACAGCAAAGGCAGAGCAGATGAAGGTTGGGGGTGGCAGAGGGAAGTGGGACGTGCTGGGTGGCAGGTCGTGCAGCTGTACGCTTAGAAGGCCCTGCAAGCTGCCTGCTCCACCCTCCCCTGCTTGCCATCCTTGAGCATAGTCTGTTCTGCTTCACAGCCCAAGGCAGTAGGCTGGCACCCTTCCTGCTGCTGACCACCCGCGTGTCTTTGCTGTAGGTTACTACTTCACAGGGGATGGTGCTTACAGGACCAAGAAAGGCTATTACCAGATAACGGGGCGCATGGATGATGTCATTAACATCAGCGGGCACAGGCTTGGGACGGCAGAGATAGAAGATGCAATGGTAAGTTCCAAGCAGGTAGAGGTCCCTAGCCCCTTCAAAGAAGCCTTATCAATTTAAACAAGTGCAGGGTCTTTTGCTTTCAGACCCCTGCCTCTGCATACACAAAGCTTGATGCATAATGAATAGCAAATGTGCAAAGGGAAAAAGCTTATTTAGGAGACAACAAATAGGCAAATGAGAGAGGTCACACTGTGGGCAGTCCCTGCAGCTGAACAGTCAGAGCTGTTTCTTCTTAGCAACGTCGCACCGTTGCAGTTGTAATTTTGGATGATAATGGAGTCTCCATAATGGATTGTCTCTCCTGTTTGTTCCTTCTCCTCTGCTAACACCTAACCTCTCCTTCCCAGATTTGTAGTTCTTGCTTATTCAAGCCAGCTGAGTATGCCTGGGAATTCAGCAGTGTTAAATATGAAGCAACCTTGATTCCTGTCAGCTGCAAAGCTAGCCTGTCATTTTGAGAGAAAAAAAGTATTAGCTCAGGGAATTGAAAACAAGAAGTCCTCAGAGCATTTCTGTTCAAAGCTTGACCTCAATATTCATTTCTACATTATGTACCCTGCCTGCAAATTACACTTAGATGAGACTTTTGATAAACCCGAGCTGTTTGCATGGCACACGGGATCCTGCTTTCTCCTTTGTGAGCAATTTTTTTTTTGTCTGTGTGGGTTTCTGATAAAACATATAGGATCCAGTTCTCCCACTTGTTTATGCATGTGTATATGCAAATATATTTATATGCTTAGATTGTGATGTTTCCTTTCATATTTTAATGTAAGATAGCATAATATTACCAGCAGATGGAGAGAGGTGATTTTGCCCCTCTGCTCTGCTCTGCTGAGATCTCACCTGGAGTACTGTGTCCAGCTCTGGAGCCCCCAGCACAGGAGAGATAAGGACCTGTTGGAGCAGGTCCAGAGGAGAGCCACACAAAAGATCAGAGAGCTGGAACAACTCTCCTGTGAGGACAGGCTGAGAGAGCTGGGGTTGTTCAGCCTGGAGAAGAGAAGGCTCTGGGGGTACCTTATGGCAACCTTCCAGTACCTGAAGGGGCCTATGGGAAAGCTGGAGAAAGGCTCTTTACAAGGGCCTGTAGTGACAGAATGAGGAGCAATGGTTTTAAAGAAAAGCAGGGCTGATTTAGATTAGATGTTAGGAAGAAGTTCTTTACTATAAGAATGGTGAAAGACTGGAACAGGCTGCCCGGAGAGGTGGCCTCCACCACCTCCCTGGAGACATTCAAGGTCAGGCTTGATAGGGCTCTGAGCAACCTTACCTAGTTGAAGATGTCCCTGCTTACTGTAGGAGGGTTGGACTAGATGACCTTTGAAGGTCCTTTCCAACCCAGGTCATTCTATGATAATCAGTCTCTGGTGTGAGATTTGGGGAGAGAGTTTCTTCTGGTCTGTACAACCTCATTGTCTTTTTACTGCAGAATAATATTAAACTCTGAGGTGTGACAGAATAAATCACTTTCGTGTAGCATAATAATAAAAATATGCATTCAGCAAAACAATCCCTCCCTCATCCTGGGAAGATGGAGATGCCTGATCCTTTCTGCCTTGGGCACTTGGGAACACCAGCCAAATGTGGACCGTGATGTTGGCAGCTTCACTTTTCCTCTGCTGCCAACAGTTCCCTGTGGCACAGAGCAATGCAGGACTGGCGTTGCTTGTGATTTGGCTGTGGCCAGTCAACCCTAGCTCAACACCTGGGAACACAGCCATGCACACCAAGAGCACAGACAAAGAGGTGCACATGTAGCTCAGTGTGTACCAGGCCTTGCAGTGTATGTAAGGGTGCTTATTTGTGTGTTTAAAGGCAGGGCTAATCCAGTGAATAAATGCAGCTCCCAGAGGTGTAGCTGTGGCCATGGCCAGCAGCTGACTGTGCAGTAGGAAGGCAGCATCCAGCTTTCCTGTTGTGCTTTCAGCAGGGTGTGCCAAGGGGAAGGTGTTTTGTTCCTAGAGCACCTGGCAGGAACTCTGCAGGGCTTGAGGTGGTTGTTATGCTCTGTGTATTTTTGTTTCACTTTCTGTGAAGGCTGATCATCCTGAGGTCCCCGAGACAGCTGTGATTGGGTATCCACACAAGATCAAAGGAGAAGGTATGTGAAAAGTACTGTCCTGCCATGACACCTATGTGAAATTTCCTTAATTTCTAACCTGGGCTTTGTGTTAGGAGGTGCCTAGGGGATGGGAGGGCAGTTATTCTTAGGCTGACTGGCGTGCAGCCCCAAGAGGTAAAGACAGCCATGAAAATAACTGGATGTTTCTAAGCTGGGTACAAGGTGTTACTCCCTCAACCTTTCACACATAATGTTTATGTATGTGTTAGAGCTTCCATTAAAAGGATTATGCTCAAAAATGTCACTTGAACGGAATAGGAATAGCTGATTTGCACTGGCCAGCTTTTGATCTCAGTGACACTTTGGTAATTTATGTTGAGTTGTCATTGTCACCGAGATCAGTCTGGTCCATAGGTGCCAAGACAAGGCTGGGCCATGGTTTGAGGGCTGGAGTCTGAATCCCTTTTGTAAACAGCATCTATGGTTTTCTTGAACACAGGAATGATATGAAACTTGTCTTGGCATTTGAATGAGCATCTCTGGTCTTGCCAGCCAGGATCTAATACAAGATATGTGGCTTCTGCTCATTTGTCTTCCAGGTGCCTTTGCTTTCATAGTGCTGAAGGAGCAGACAGCTCATATAGACCGTGTCAAAGAAGAGCTCAAAAACATAGTGGCTTACAAGATAGCAAAATATGCTGTGCCTGACCATATTTTGGTAAGTGGGAGACTGTAACTAGTACCGGGAGCAGTAATGGTCACAATGAGCAAGCCTCACCTTCCTACCTGCAGGACTGTTGTTGTCCCTCTCTGGCAGGATGAAGAAGCAGGAAGGATCCCTAGGTAGGGGAGAGCAGATGCAGAGTGGTCTGCATCTGCTCATTCCCAGCAGTGACCCAGAGGATAGCTGTGGGATATTACAGCTGCTCCAGCCTGCAGAGCAGCTTCTCCATGGGACTGCTCCAGAGTGTGTTTTACAGCTACCTTGAGGCTGCTCCATTTGGGCCAAGTACTGAACAGCCCTTGAAATGGGATGCACAGAGTGTTGAGAGCTCTGGCAGAGGGGAACCCCTGGCCCACCCCGTGCCCCAAGATGTTCACCACGCAGCAGCGTTACTGCTCCGTGCAGCTCTTGCCCTCAGCTAACCCCTTGCTGGACCAACGTAGCACTGCTCAGCAGGGCCCTGTGCAGTGAGTCGGATGGACCTCTGCTAAACTGTGGGGAAATGCCACAACCTTCAGTGTCTCTGAGAGGCAGAGTGACACTTTCCACTGCCCAGCTATTTTGCATCGCTAAAAATCGACCCCAGATCTCAAAGCACGGGTTGTTTCTGTTGCATAACTGACAGCTGTTCAGCCTGGCCCTGTCAGCACGGATGAAATCAGGCTCTGTCTTAGGCCTCCTCACCTTGCAGCAGCTCCCTTTGTGTGTTTGGGGAGAGTGGACAAAGCTGCCCTGTGGCTGGCCCCCAGGTCCTGCCTGCATCTATTCCACTCTCTGCTTGGAGGTAGTGAGCAGACCACTTCTTTGAGGGGTTCTGCTTTAGCCATGTGCTTGGAAGGTGGACACCAAGACACAGTTTACAGAATACAGCAGGAGCAGGCAAGGGTGGCTCATTCAACTTGGAACAGCCCCAGGACATCCTCAGCAGGTTGGAGCAGCTTCCAGTACTTGCAGGTTTGCAAGGAAACACCTCTGTTTCCTTGTATTTGGGATAGGCCTACAGACATGTCCTACAGCTCTTTCTTTGCATGTTAATGCCTTGGAGTTCTGTAGCCTACTGGCCTGATCATGTAGCAAAATGTGAGATCTGCTAGCATCTCTATTCAGTGCCTGGGAAGTCTTTACCAGGCTCAGGTTTATGCTAAAGGCCCTGAATTTGCTGCTAAGTCCTTTGCAGAAAGCATAACCAAGACATTTATGGTGATGAAGGAAGGTGTGTGAGCTGTCAGATGTAATCAGGCAGAGAGAAACATCAGCAGACAAGAGTTATCCTTTGAGTAGATCTTGTAACTGGCAGGTAGTATTGTGTGATTTATATTCATGCCCTGTAAGCATCTGTTTGTTCTGGCAATGTGTTGAGATCCATGTCGTTGTCATTGCCTGAGTTTTCAAGTGTAACTAGCTTTCTGGTTCAGTAGTTAACAGCTTTTTCAGGACCTGATTCTCCAGAGCTGTGTGTCTCCAGAAACACAGCAATGAGTAAATGTGGAACAAAGTCTGCCTCAATAAGAATAAAACTTATAGCACAAGGCACTGATGGTAGTGATGCTCCTTTCCTTGGACATAAACTAGTGTACTCGATGGCCTGGTATTTCCCAGGAGCCTCAGAGGAGCTATGGCCAAGAGAGAGTGTGCAAGGCTTAGGACAGCTCAGCTAGATTTCCTTGTGGCTTCCAGCAGGACCCAAGGTCCCATATAGGTGTGTCTTTCCCTCCCCTGCAGGTGGTGAAACGTCTTCCTAAAACACGATCAGGGAAGATCATGAGAAGGCTGCTCAGGAAAGTAGTCACTGAACAATCAAGCAACATGGGAGATGTCACCACACTTGATGATCCAAGTGTTGTCAAGGAAATACTGGATGCTTACCAGAAATACAAGGAGAAGAATTCCTCATAACAGGCAGCTCTGGATTCTCTCTCCTGGAAGTGTGGAAGGTCTCAAATAACCAGTCAAACAACATAGTTCTGTCTTGGTTTTTTAAAAAACTGTTTCCTTCTAGGGGAACAAGATTTTCCACTGCACAATGTATTTTCAGATGCACAGAGCTAGGAGCAATCTGCAGTTTTGCACAGTCACTGAGCTCCTTTTCATTGCTTTTAGGGCTGTTTTAGAGAGCTACTGGTGTTTTCTGTTAGCTGTGATGAAGTTAATAGTGGCTGAAGTAAGATGCAGATGTTAGTGTTTCTCATTTTAATGTTACTGTACAGTGGTTTTTATACAATACTTTTGCTGTTTTAAAAGAAGCTCTGGAATACACTTAATTTTTCCTTCAGCTTAGATATCTGAGTTCAAGTAGCTGTATTTAACTAACTGTAGTGCCTTTTCAGCAGTGCTGGGTATTCCAGTTGATATTTCACATGTGTTTTTAGAGAAATGAGAAGGATGTTGCTAGTCTGATAATTATTTCTTATGTTTAGCCAGTTGTTCTAATACCTCCTTTGGCTTTCCTCATAAGAATTTGTTCCTACCACTATATGTCCTGGGACTTGCCAGAAATGGTGAGCCTGTGTCCCACCTAGGCAACCCAGCACTAGCACTTCCAGCTGCAAAACAGCCACAGAGCCTACTGCTGGACTTCCTATGTGTACACAATGTGTTGTCAGTTGTGTAGGAGGGGTCTGGTCCCACGTTTTCTTATTCTGCCTTGGGAAACTGAGATCACCAACTGGGCTTTTAAAGCAACTGTCATCTTTTGCATTGGTGATGACATCTGGATCAATGTTGTCCATGGTGGCTCACTTCTGCACGTTAGGAGTGGTGGTCTACAGCTGGTAGATCTTTGTTGCCAGTTGGTGATTTGTGTAGGTGCCTTTGTTTCCTGAAGATACTACGAGAAAGGACAATATTTGCTTACTTGTCTGTTAGAGAAGCATTGGGAAACAAAATCCTGAAGTGCTCAAGGGAGGTCTGAAGCTGAGAGAGATGTGCTGAAGGGTTCACTGTAACTTGCCAAGCTGTGTGATTTCTAACCAAAAAATGTTTTTTTTTTTTTAGCTTACTCCCAAATGGCCTGTAACCATGTTTGCCCCAACAAAGGCAGGTACTCAGTTTGGAAGTAGGTTGGTTTTCCTGTCACAAATTATGACTTAATGCTTATTGCTTCAAACTGGGCCTTACCATGTCTGCCTCTTCCACATGCTGCCATGCTGATCTTCTGAAGATTTATGTGCCAAGTGGGTACCTGCAAATTGCACAATCCACAAAGAAGTGCCTCTTAGATGCCTTGTGGAAAGTGATGGCAGCATTCCAGACCAGCAACCTCAGAACAGCAGGGAACAACAGCCTTTGTCTTTCATGTGCTTTCAAAATTGCAGCTAACATACTCAGTGTTTCATTTCTGGACTTGTTCTAGTATGGACATATTTTGATTTAAGCACTCCTTATGTTTGGGCTGTTCAGAAGAATTTACTAGTAGGTCTCCTGTCCTCTACTACTTCTGTTGACCACTTGCCTGACATAGAAGGATATTATCATCAACAGGTAAACCAACAGCCAAAGTCCTCCCTCTGCTACCACGTGGTACACCAAAGATCCAAGGTGGCCCACAGCTGGAGGGAGGAACAAGTCAATGCATTCACTCACAGCACAGGATGTGCAGAAAGGAGCGAGCTGGCCAAGGATCCAAGCCATGGGAGATGGAACCAGCCAGGCCATGAGTCCCAAATAGAAATTCATGATCTTCTTGTGATGTCCTGGGAACTCCACTTGCTGTGAAGAGTCAGGGAGCCCTTTCAATACCCAGAACCCCACACAGCACATCCACTGTATGGACAGGCCTCCCACTTGCACTGCAAGCAGAGTCAGGTCATAGGGGTGACTTCTTGCTCTACCTCCAAGTTAATGTGGAAGGTGGGGGCACCTGGTGGTGATGTAGTCAGTTCCCACCCAAGGCTGGCCAGACCCTGTGTGAAAACAAATCAGGAGGGTCCTGGTTGTGGGCATCATCCATATGCCAACCCTCATTCAGGGCTGGGGGTTTAACCCCAGCACTTCACTACTACACCACTGAAAGTCATGGAAAAGCCTGTAGGTGTCAGATACCTTTTAAGACTTCTGCCACTGCTAAATTGGGTTGAGGCTGGCTGGAGGGTTCAGAGTGGCTGGAGGGGAGGGCACAGAGCATGCCAGAAAGGTGTGGTGGAGGGCTCCTGCACTGTCCCTGGATGCAGAAGCTCAAGTTATACACCAGTGTAGCACGCACAGTGATGATCCTGGGAATGTGTGACACAAGGGCCCAGGCAGAGCTTCTCTATCTTAACCTGCCTGAGGCAAGTGACTGCTAACCACTGTTCCAGTGCTGTGGCTGGGGTCACTCCATCTAACCTTGCATCAAACCTCTGTCTTTAGCAGATGAGAGTCTACAGTTTCACAGGGCTGTGTGTTTTGGCCTGCCACCCCCTCGGTAATTGGCAGAATCACCAGATTTTGCCCTACTCTTACAGGGGTGAGTTATTGGTGAATTTCACTAGAGCAGCACTGTCTTTTCCAGGGGGACTGTGTACCAGAAAGACAATCTGTGCACCTAACTGGAGGTGGAAAAATAAGGAAGCAAATGGCTAGGTGGTCCTGTAGGACTAAGAGAGGAATGTTGAGCTTTTTGGCCTGCAGAGATTCTGGTACCAAATGGGGAAGGAGGCTGCTTGCAATGCGCTGTGTTCTCCAAGACAGACATGTTGTTGTCAGAGTTCTTCTGAATACACTAGCTGCATTTGCTGCTTCCCCTTCCCTCCCCCCCAGTTTATTTTAAATGTCTCCAGGGACTGGACTGTGCAGTAGGGAAATACGATGCTTCGTTAAAATTCCCATTCTTCTGACTTCAGTCTGGTTTTGCTTAAGGTAAGGAGACACTCTGTGGACTTTGTGGGAAATTGAAGATCAGAAGGTTTTATAGAGTTGATGGGATATTAATAATCTAGGAGACAACCACTACACGTCTTCTATTGCCATTGCAAAAAGAGGAAAAAAAAACCAAAACACTTCCCTAAGGGATTTTCAAGTGGGAAACAGAAGTTCATGCTTTCGACAGAAAAAGTAGACTCCCTTGTTTAAACAAGTTGTCTCCACGCAGTCTGATGTACATTACAGAGGAAGAAAAATAACTTTTGTACAAGATTACACTCTTCCCTTTTAGTCAAGAAAGCATCTCCTATACTTTGGATACAGAATTTCCTTGTCCTGTTGACCTGAAATTTCCATGCTAAGGTGTGACCCCGTGGTCACTGGGAGCATGGTCTAATTTATCTGCACTGTTCTGAAGACTAGTTATGTGAGGAGCAGTGTACTTCAACACATTGAGATGTTTCTCATACAATTGCTCTGCTCAGGGAAAGTAGGAGGTGGGTGTGCTCCCTCACCTGCATCCCTGGTGCCTCAACTTGCATGGGCTTAGGGATTGTGGCTGCCAAGGAGATTTCAGAGTGAGCAGGCAGCTGCTGCACCCTGATAAATTCACAGCCATGCCAGTTATGGTGTGGACAGACCATAGGTACAAATAAGCCCCACACTGTGAACTTCTGAAGCCTTACAAGCATCTTTGCCAAAATCACACCACAAGCACATGCAAGAGTTCCACGTGCCTTTCCATGCTGTACCACCCAACTGCTCTCTCTTCCTTGTGCATTTCCACAGCTGAGCTGTGGTCCTTGGGACATCCATCTGCTCGGAGGCCCTCTCGGGGTGTTCAGAGGGAGCTTGTGCTACTGCTGTGCTGCCCACGTGGTGTTCTGCAGGGGACACAGCTCCTGCTGGGCAGCCCTGGCCCCCACCCCTCCGGCTAAAACCACTTCTGCAAGCATGCCAGCACCAGCTCTCCGAGCTAACACCCCACGCTCAGCTCAATGATTCTATGAGCAATATATTAAATACTTTGGAGTAGAAATGTGGGATAAATTGGGGGTAATAACTTTGTTTAAAAAAGCAGAATTGTTGAATTCTCCTAAACCTTTGTGTATCCATGAGTGATATATGGGTTGTTTGACAGATTCCCTTTGTAGCTTCATTAAAAGAGATCCAGGGTCAATTTTACCTGTTGCAAAGGGCAAATGTGCTTGTCCTTTTTTTTTTTTTTTTTACCACTTGTTTTTTGCCAGTGGTATATGGTTGTGGTGCCTTTTCCCACACTACAGATGCAAATCAGTTTTAGAAAGGGAAAGTTTATATCTCTAGAGGTGAGGTGTATGTTGTATCATTCAATGCTAAGCCTTTAATTTTGTTTTCTTATAATCATACTTTAAACACATTTATTGTCCTTGATCAAAACCAGTTTCTTCCATGACCTCTGGATACATATTTTCATTAAAGGAAATATCTTCCTTTGTGTGATATGTTGGCTTTGTGTCATAGGTGTCTGGCCCTATGTTCCCAAAAATGTCTTTGAGTTCCTTGGACTTGCTTCTACCTGTGCTGATTATTTTAGTCTGCCGGCACAGACCAAAGCAAGGCAAAGGAGTTCAGCATCAGGATGACTCTGGTCCTAATAGCTGGTGTGTTTTGCTGCTTTTCTCTAAACCGTAGCTCACAAGAAATGAGTTACTGCTACAAAACTGTCACTGCAAGAACAACTTGGAAAGTTGAAGACATTTGTATGTCATTAAGCTGCATGTCTTGCATGAAGAGGTCCCACTGCTCTGCACTCGTTTCCACGAACAATTAGTGGGAACGATTAATTACCATTAGTTGATGCTGATGGTTCAGCTACTAACCTCCTTGTCTTGTGCAAAAGTAGCAAAGGAGTGAGAGCAGGAGGTGTGTGGGGAACAGGAGGGACAGCATTCTGTAGAAAGTGAGTGTGTACCCATCCCACAGCCTGGCAGATGAAAAGGAATTTGTTTCCAGGTGCCATGGATTGTTTGTAAATGCCAGGAACAAATCCTCTGCAGGGCTCCTTGTCCTTCAAGAAGTGAGGAAGACTGTGTTTCAGCCACTGTACCACACAGATAACACTGCAGAGGTAATTCAGGGGTGGATGCTCAACAACCTCATTAGCCATGTCATTACCTCTAGCAGCTGCTTCTGGAAAGCTTCCAATTCCGCTCTTAGCTCTTA